TGATATACAATGTTACAATAAAACACAGTGTTCAACCTGAAACATGTTAATGATTAGATGAACAGTCTATCAACCCTCAGCCTGTCAGTGTTGTTCACATCCTCTATGATTCATCCGCTCTTATTTGACAGTAAATAAACATCTCGATGTGCCCCTCCTTTAACCTCCAATTGCACTTGGAGGTTGGGACACGAACACAACCAGTTTGATTTGGTTGGCTTTGGATGTGAGTAATGTTGCCCAGTCTAATAACAACATGCTAAATAAACGACCAAACTGTTCTGATCCTGTAAGACTAAAGTGTCACTTCCAGGACTGTTTTGACAATATCATAAGAGAATGAAAAGGTTCTGTTGTCAAGTTAAAGGAACAAATCTGAATCTGAAATGATCCATCATTTAATCATTTGAATTTGATTGCTTTCTTACACAACTTCACTATATAAGATATGATAATATCTACAGTCCATACACTGTGAATGAAAAATAAATAAATAATTCCCATAGCTAAGTCCAAAGTTATACAGTTTAAAAGTCTTGGTTAGAAAAATCAAGTATTATGAGTTTTCATCATGAAACACAAAGAGGGAAATGCTACACTTTGGAGGCTGATTATTTGTCAAACTCAAACAAGAACATGATGTATGTCCCTTTGGATAAAAGTGTCTGCTCAGTGAATTGTAGAATAATGTATTGATTTTAATTTACAAATTAAAAACATGAATATTGTTTAAAGACAGACATGAAAATAAGTGGTCCAATCCTTCACCCCGTAGAGCTGAGATAGAAAAGGCACACAAAGTCTCAGTGCTAGTGACTGCATGTTTAGAGACAGACATGAAATGTTTCTGCAGAGCAGATTAGGACAGAGAGGAAACAAAGGTTAGGCAGAGAGCACTGGGGGTTTGCTGTTGGTCCCTTTAATGGCTCTACCAGTGAAAGTATGCAGAGCAACTTCTGCTACTGTCATTAGGGGCCAGGGATCACACAGAGGGAGAGAGCCAGCTCTCATTTCTTTAGGTGAGTCCTCTGGAATAAAAAAGTCAGATTCAGATTCCAGGAAACAGCACAGACATTTTACAGTCAATGCATTTGAATTTTGGGGAAGAACGTCATTTTTGAGTGTACTAGACAACACTGATCAAGAAGGACAACTTCCATAAGCAGGACATGTTTCTCACTGAGGATGAAATAGTTTAAGATCATAGAGAGCCCCAAAAGAAAACATACCAAATATTTTGATCTTTCTTCTCAAATAAGCAAAACAAATATGCATAAATCGTCAGTTTGTTTTATTACTTAAGTAAAATTACAAAATGACTGGTATTTAAGATAACTTAAATATGACCAAAATTAAAAGTATGTTGTGGAACGATCCATATCATTTAGATTATTAATTAACTATTTATTATTAAATAACTATTATAAAACAATGAATGTATCACTAATGTTGCAGCTGGTGAAAGTTGAAAGTTAAAATATCATTTATTAGTTACAAACATTTGTATTATTCATCTTAATATGTAAAATGATTAAAAGAAGATGTTTGAGTACATAGAATCAAAATTAAAAATGTTTTATTAAAACAAGCTGTTTCTGATGTCAACCCCCAGCAGATTTTTTAAATCTTACAGGATTTTTTTTCATATCTTAAAATTATTTTAAAACTATTATTTTACTTCAGAATAATGATATAAAATAGCCAAGTCGGCCATATTAGTAAAACTATATATATATATAAATATATATATATATTTATACATATATACATATATATATATACATATATACATATATATATATATATATATATATACATATCCCATTGACTGTAAATAAACATGGACAAAGCCCATTGGTTTCTGAAGGGTGGTTTTGGACAACAATCACGCTCCTAATTGTGCATAATTCGTACTCTGAAAAAAATCTAAACTGGTGAGTTACCAAAAGCACCAAATTTTAATTTATCGCATTGTGCAGCAGAATTGTATTAATAATTGTATATTTATTACATATGTGATTAGTTTGGATTATACAATACCTATTTCTTTAGCATGTAAGCAACTTTTGGTATGGTAGAAATTAAGTTTGAACTAGAGTATAGTTCACACCCTTTAGGCGTAACCAATGAAAATATGTCTGATTTATGGCAATGCATCATATTCTTTTTCTTTTTTTTTCACATCTTCCTCTGAAAAATTAATGTTGGTTGAACAAGTAGGTTACAGAATTTCAGAGGCATCAAATAAAAATACACAGTACTCTTCTTAAAACTTGTTCCTGGATATAGAACTTTAATAAATCCACGTGTACTCTCTCAGTCGCAGCATAAACCCTGCTGTAGATGAATGATTGAAGCATTGTAATAAAACCAAACTGAGAAAAATGTATTTAATTGACTGTTGATTGAAGCCTTTACTGATGATGTTAACTGAGGTTTGGTGAATACCTGCCTGACGACAGACAGCCATACATTCTGACAAAGTGCTGCTTGTTTAGAGGAAACCAAAAAAGGAAAATCTTTTTTAAATCACTTTCATAAAGAACAGTGTCTTATTTGATGTGATTTCTTAGACATTGATCAACATAATTTAGCTGACAAGAATCCAGTTACGTTCTGTTTGTTAGAGAGTCGGCTGTGTGTCCAGTCTTGTTGCCTGGCAACCAAACTTTGTGTGTTTGTGCGTCCTTTCTCTCACTTCCCTCATTTTTCCGCCTTCTCTCCCATCACCTCTGTCATCCTTGTTTACAAAGACATAAAGTCTTTGGAGGAGCAAAAACGTGCCATAAAGTTGTCCTCACTAAACGGCTTGTAAATGTTAGAAAAATACAACCCTGAAGAAAGCGACTGTCCACTCTGACTATAGGTGATGAGACAAGAAACCCTCCTGACATCTGGAGTCTGTGTAGTGTAGGCCAGCAGATTCCTGTTTTTGGCAAATGTATAATTTATATTAATGTCAGCTATATTGATGAGTTTCATGAAGAATTCACTTGAAGTGTAAGATAAATGTGTTTTCCTAAGAAGGCTCGTAAACAATGCTGTACAATTAATTAAATTCACTTGTTATGAAACAATGTTGTACAATTAGTTTTGTTGATTTCAGATATAAGGAACAAAGCATACCAAACTAAATTGACCATTTTAATAAAAACATGTGCTCACATACCTTCAGGACAAACATCGACAATGAATACAGCAGTTTGAGTGTTTTTCCACAAGTTGTTCTGAGAAAACGACTGAATTAAAGGTGTGTGGCTTCACCAGCAGTGACTTCCCCGGAGGGTTGCTTTGGTCCTTCATTAATTGCCTCCTGAATTGACCACACATTCACTCTTTCCTCACAGCAAACCACTTCATGCTGACAGTAATTGGTAGAAGGTGAACAATAAAGATGTGTTGAACAGAGTTGTTTATCCTTCTTTCAAGAAACCGTTTCTTCACAACCTTTTCATCTAGCCTCTGTACACTTGTCCTTAATGTCACCAGTAGTTACCTAACGTTGATGTTTATTTGTCCCTTCACCTGGCCTGGGAACAGGAAGCAGCCAGGAAACACTGAAGTACAGAACTAGGTAATGTTTTTCCTTGCTGAATGTTCCTTGCCTTGTAATTGACACGATGAGGTCAGCTAATGAATGTTGTGTGGAAAAACAACAGATACTGACAGGATCTCTAGCAGACATGACTGAAACAAGTGTACTTTCATAATCATCCTCTCAGTGTTTCTTCGTCTATACCTGTAAAACATAGACCAAGAGAAAAGGAATATTTGGACCCATGAGGATAAGACATTGTATGATCTTGTTAGAGTTCAACACTATAGATGGTTATGGATGTTTCACAATGAAACAATGTAAGATATAAACGGAATACAATTCAATATTTATTATAGCCACCACAAAAATCATTTGTGAGTTTATCAAATTACTTACTACTGTTAAGATATAATAAACCAATCTCTTCTTGCATAACTGCGTAACTGTGGAATCTGCCACACACAACTCCTGCTATCAAGCAGCTGCCTGACAGCTGTAGCAAATGTCAGCCTACAGCACAAAGCACATGACAGAAGTAGTTCACTTTCAGCTTGTGAAATAAACTTACATTATAAATGCAACTAGGAGGATTTATATTTGCTAAATTGTGTTACAAATACATATAATTAGTGGAGCTAAAACAATGACATTTATTTGTGTGTGTATGCCCACAACTTCATGCCACCCCTCCATAAGTCACTGCCCCAGGAGAGCAGACCAAAAAAGTCTGCACACGCCCCTGTCAATTGGGTTTCATGGGTTTGTGACTAATTAGTGTCAAATTTCTTCTCAGCGGGTGCAGAATGTTAAAACTGCCTCCAACTTTTATACAAGCATTTAAAAAAGTCAGAAGTCCTTCAACATTAAATAAACAACTGTAGACATGTATGTACATGGCTGTAAGAAAAATATATGGAGTGGTTAATGTTACACAATAATGCTTCAATACCCACATCAAAACAAATCTCAGCTGAACCTTCACTTACAGTATTTACAACAAAAGTCGGACAAGGCATATGCCATGATGCCCAGAGCAAAGCACAGCGTGATGCCACACATTTCAACTTGTCATTTGTTGAAAATATGTAAGAAAGACAAATTAATCAAGGATCAAATAAAACAAAATAAAAAAATCTAATGTGATCTAAAATAAAATAGAATCAAAGTTGCCTTTTACAAATTTGAAAATTTTTGCAAACAGAGGAGAGGACTCAATCAGCACACATCTTAGACATTTGGGGGGCTCAATAAATGAAGACTTGACTTTGCATGAATCACTTTTTAATAACTATCAGGTGTCATGGTTGTACAATGTAGGTGATGGATTGTAAGGATAATGGTGTAATCAAAAGGTACTGTGGCACACTGTTGAGAGAAGTGGGAGGGGTGCTGGAGCCAGAGGGGTATATAAGAGACGCTGAAGTGTTGAAGCAGAGTAAAAGAACTGAGGAGTAGGAAAGAAACATCAGGGGAAAGCTTGAAGAAAAATCTTTTTTTTTTTTAATCTTAATCCAGGACTTCAGAGGAAGAAAAGTTCACCCAACAAGAAGGTAAGAATAAAACAGATTAAATCTCAAATCAATCGATGTACATAGTTTTTTTTGCAGAGTAATAACCGTAACACAATTTATTGAATTGTTTCAGAAAGTAATTTGTATATTTGTTACATTTAAGAAAATTTACAGAAAATGTAGATTTTCAGGGTCTGAAGTTTGTATATCATCTTCATGTTTAATGTTAGTTATCTACATTAGTCTTTCCTCAAGATTACTTTTGGCAATTTGAATATCTGGATAGCTTTTATTCATGGTGCTGCTCTATCAACTACGCATACAATCTTACATCAATTTTAAGTGCCAATACTTTTATCAATATCCTATCAGTTCTCTCAGCTTAAAGCAAAACACAAGTATGCCTGCGTCAGTATTTTGTTTTTAAACCAAAAGTATACAGATGCAATCCTTGTCAGTGTGTGTGTGGGTGTTTGGATTATACTGCCAATGTTTCGTAAGTGGATACAGAATGTTTGAATCTTTCAGTGACATATGGTGATGGCAAACACAGATGTGTAATTCGAGTGGGGGGGTTCTGTCCAGCCATGTTTTTTTTTGCTTTTTTTGCCTTAAACCACCCAAAATGTATTTTGAATCTCTAGTTAAAGTTTCAAGTTTGCTCCTTTTATCTGCCTTCACAAAATTTAAATATATATATAATTTATTATCCTTCGTTTTTTTTTTATATGATTGTCAAATTGACATGTTTACATATTAAGGTAAACGTTATGTAACTGAAAACAATTTGAACACACCATTCAAAATGTATGATTTTTCCAAGTGTTCACTGTTTTTTTTATAATTCTCTCTCCATTGAGGCGCCTCCGTTTGGAACCAAACTTTCTTTGTAGTTCCTGTTTTGAAGTGCACATTAGAAGAGGTGAAAGTTCAAAGATCAAACATTGCAGCTGTGTGTGAGAATGTCGCTGAGGCTTCTTCTTCTCATCACTGGAATCACCTCAGCTACTGTTACAGCTCAAGGTGGGTCACTCACACAAACGTATCTTTGTTACTTTGTCAGAACCCTTGCATTCCTCTATTGAACATGAATTCGGAGGTTGTCAGTACTAAAACACTCAATCGCATAATGCTCATGATTTACAATAATTGAGATGTTGAATAGGTGGAAATATCAAAAACTATTTTTTTTAAATCCATATACTGTAGGACAATGGGTGTGTAAGGGAAATCATTTGGAGTGTTTTGTAAAATATGACTCACTTACTTTGATTTGTCCTTTGCAGAACCATGGAGAAGAGACAACAAGGAGTCAAGCCCTTCTGTGTATCACTCTGATGGTAACTTTCAATCTGAAGTTTAAAACAAACATTTTGTCACATTTGTTCATTTATTCTATTTGTTAAGTTTATTTTTATAACATGTGGTGGACACTGTAAAGCCATTCTGAGTTTGTTCAGACTTTTTTTTTTTGTTCTACACTCTGTGTACAGACAATTATGATTGGACCACATGGTTCAATGTTGATCATCCTGGAGGCCCCGGAGACTATGAACAGCTTGAAGCCATTCGCTTCTACTACCGTGCCCGAGTGTGTGAAACTCCCCGTGCTATCGAGGCCAGAACCACTGAGTGGGTACCAGCCCGTGAAACTGGGGAGACGGTCCACGCAGACCCCACTATTGGCTTCTGGTGCCTCAACGAGGAGCAGGGTCCTGAACGAAACTGCTCCAACTACGCAGTTCGCTTCCTATGTCCCAAAGGTTACATTTTTTTTAAACACCTTTATACTTTTTTTTTTTTTTTTTACCAAAAACTGGTTTCAGTGTAAAAGCAAGACATAGCCTACTCTCTAAGTCTAGAACGCCAGAAAGCTTAACTTGAATGAAGACTTGAACGGTGACACAGGAAAATAAGAGAGGACTTTTTAGTCGATTAATCTTTTCAGTTGATTATCTGACTTATCTGACTGCTTTCCCCTCTTCAACAGATAACCCAGTGAGCATGCAGGGTACCTGGGGTCACTGGTCAGATTGGAGCCCATGTCCTGCTCTCTGTGGTCAGGTGGGGGTCCAACTGCGTTCGAGAAACTGTCACTCTCAATCTTTGCCTTGCACTGGGCCTAAAGTGGAAGGAAAAGAATGCAATGGACCTGAATGTCCAAAAGCAGGTTCAGTACAGCTGACCAGATAGATCCTTTTTCTATAATTCTGTTTTCATTCAACCAGGTTTTGACTTTTCTTGTTAGATATGGGATAACAAGTATTGACTAAAAGACTATCCTTGCTTTATTCTACTCTTTAGATTGCTCTCTGCAGTGTGTGATGGGAAGAGTGAATGTTGACTGTGATGCATGCATGTGTAAAGAACACATCCTGCTTGGTTCTGTCCGTGGGGCCGGGGGTCTTACGGCTGAAGGGGCTACCATCCTTCGCTCTGACAAACTCCTCACCCTTACTGACCACAACGGGCATTTTCGCATCCCTGGCATCTGCCCTGATGGGAACACCACCCTGACAGTCACCCTGCAGGGTCATGCCCCTCATAGTGTTGTCGTGCCACACAGTGCCGAACGTACCTCTGTCCTCACTGTGCAGCTGAAAAGAACAGGTAGTAGATTTAGACCAAAATATTTTTTTTGCATTTCAAGTTAGCCATGTCAGGAAGCCAATCAGTAATGTGATATTTCTTAAATTTGTCAGAAAAGCTTCATGTGCTAAGCAACCCTGAGGGCAAGGTCAGGCGAGAGGGACAAGCGACTGCCTTCTGCTGCAAAGTGGCAGGAACACCACAACCACACAAGTACCAATGGTAGGGGTTGTAACAATAAATCATCACCCACAAATGAGTCACATTGAGGTATATAGTGTTTAAATACTATGGTATATTCACTGACTTTTCTTTTTGAATCAACAGGTTTCATAACAATACTCTCATGGAGAAACAATTGGAGAGCACCCTAGTCCTAAAAGATCTGCGTTCTGAGCAGACTGGAGAGTACTACTGCAGAGCAATCAGTCAATCTGGGGCTATAAAGACCAAACCAGCTACACTCAAAGTCTTAGGTGTGTTCTAAATAAATTGATAAAAATATATTAAATACACAAGAATATGGAATTTCAATATGATATTGTATTTTTTATTTCCACAGGTAAAGATGAGCATTCATGTAATCCCAAACCTGAGTCCCACCTAATCAGGCTTCCACATGACTGCTACCAAAACAGTACAGACTCTTTCTACTACAACGTTGGCAAGTGTCCTTCAGGTACATGTGCTGGACAGCTGGACAATGGTATCAGGTGCAAAGACAAAGTGGCTTACTGCTGTGGTGTGCAAAAGATGGAAGAGAGGCAGCTGACCTGCCAGGGCTATAAACTGCCCACCATGGTGGTGACCGAGTGTGGCTGCCAGAAATGTGTTGATACCAAGGCCATAGTGCATGGTAGGGCCATTGCTGCAGACAATGGTGAGCCAATGAGGTTTGGACATATCTTTATGAATGGAGTCAGAATCAGTCGCACAGGCTACAAAGGAACTTTCTCCATCCAAGTTCCTCCAGACACAGCAAGGCTAGTCTTGACTTTTGTGGATAACATGCAGAAATTTGTCAACACTACAAAGGTACTTCCATTTAACACTAAAGGAGGGGCTGTTTACCATGAGATCAAACTTTTAAGAAAGAAAGCCCCTGTGACCATCAGCTCTACAGAAACCAACACTCTGGACCTTGGGGAGGTAGAGGGCCAGGAAGCAATTGTTCAAATCCAGATTCCCCCCAATTCCTTCTACACTGAGAGAGGAGAAGTCTTCACGGGTAAAGTTAACGCTAGTGTGACTTTCCTCGACCCCAGAGACATTTCTACAGCTGCTGCAGCTCAAAGTGATCTCAACTATGTAGGAGATGAAGGAGATACCCTGCCCCTGAGAACCTATGGGATGTTCTCAATTGACTTCAGGGGCGAGGAAAACAATGAGCCCCTGAACGCAGGCGAAGTGAAGGTGTTCCTGGATTCTGCCCAGGTGCAAATGTCAGAACATCTCAATACCATGAAGCTGTGGTCACTAAACCCTGATACAGGCCTGTGGGAGGACGAAGGAAGTCTGCAGTTGGAGAAGAAAAGAAGAGGCAAAAGAGAGGAGCGAACCTTTCTGATTGGCAACATGGAGATCAGAGAAAGACGTCTTTTTAACTTAGATGTCCCAGAGAACCGCAGGTGTTATGTGAAAGTGAGAGCCTTCCGCAGTGAACGCTTTATGCCCAGTGAGCAGGTGGAGGGGGTTGTTGTGAGTCTTATAAACATGGAGCCCACAGCTGGATACTCAACTAACCCTCGTGCCTGGGGCCGTTTTGATAGTGTCGTCACTGGCTCAAATGGTGCCTGTCTTCCTGCCTTCTGTGATGACCAAAAAGCAGATGCCTACTCTGCCTACGTAATGGCTAACCTTGGAGGAGAGGAGCTGGAGGCTGTCCCTTCTGCACCAAAACTTAATCCAAACCTTGTTGGAGTGCCTCAGCCTTACTTGGGAAAGCTGAACTACAGGCGGACAGACCATGAAGACCCCAGAGTGAAAAAGACAGCATTCAGTATCAATGTGGCAAAACCGATTCCTAACATGGCAGAGGAAGGAAACGGACCAGTGTACTCATTCGAGAACTTAAAAGAATGTGAGGAGGCACCCTTCAGTGCTGCACACTTCCGCTTTTCAAGAGTAGAAGGGGACCGCTACGATTACAACACTGTGCCGTTCAACGAAGATGACCCAATGAGTTGGACAGAGGACTACCTGAGCTGGTGGCCCAAACCCATGGAATATCGGGCCTGCTACATTAAGGTGAAAATCAATAGCCCACATGAAATCAATGTGCGATCACGCAACATGGGTGGCACCCATCCTAAGACGGTTGGCCAGCTGTATGGTCTTAGGGACACTCGCAGCATCCGGGACATGGACCAGACAGGTGTATCAGCAGTCTGCCTGGAGTTCAAGTGCAGTGGAATGCTGTATGACCAGGAACGTGTAGATCGTACCCTGGTTAAGGTGATACCACAAGGTAGCTGTAAGAGAGATAATGTCAATTCAATACTCCAGGAATACCTGGTCAACCACCTGCCCCTAGCTGTTAACAATGATACCAATGAGTTTACTATGCTGGCACCTCTTGACCCTCTAGGCCATAACTACGGAATTTATACGGTGACAGACCAGGATCCCCGCACAGCCAAAGAGATTGCACTTGGACGCTGTTTTGATGGTACTTCTGATGGTACGTCTCGTGTCATGAAGAGCAATGATGGTGTAGCGCTTACATTCACCTGTGGAGATCGTGAAGTGACACGTCAAAGTGTCTTCCAGGCTCTGCAGAATCCTCAATCCTCATCAGTAACAAGTGTTGTGCGAGGAGAAGGCAGACAGAACCGTCGTCGACAGAGGGCAAACGCACCTCGTAACAGTCGAAGGCGTAGCACCAGAAACCCTCTAGGAAAACGTAAGGCATCTAGCTAAATATGAACATAGCAAACCGTGGCTCCAAGTGGAGACCAATTCAAAATCTGCAATGAGGATGAGTGGATGACTTTTACCTTATTTTTTTAAACATTACATATTGACTTTCGTCAAATTAACTAAATATGTTAACAAAGCTAAGCCTATTTCTTACTTCTCCCCATGGAGCGTTTATTGTTACTGTACTATTTTCATCTGTGGTAAATATTTACTTGAGTCTGTAAATAGAGTATTTATTGCCCTTAAAATCAGTTATCAGTGAACAAGGTGCCATGTTACTACATTCAAGTTTTGTTTGATGCTGTTGAAAAGAATTGTAACACGTACATCCTTTTGACCAGTGATTTATTAAATTAGATGCTTATAAAACAGTGCAGATGCTGTATTTTCCACATTGTATGTTTCCAATTGTCCATGTAACAATTAAACTGGTCAAATGCTAGAAAAGAAAAGGAGCAACAAACCCTTTTCAACCGACTGTAGCCCATATGAAGACAATGTGGTGTGAAGCCAATAAGCCCCCGCTCCTCATCACACTTGATACAAGCTTGCAGAAGCAATGATTAGGTGACCAGTCGTAGCAAGTTAGTCCACTTGCCTGATCCATAGTTTTCTGCATTAGTAGAAACCAAATAAGTCAATTACGGTACATTGTTGTCATGCACAAAAAATACCTATAAGCACTCCTATATGTTCAAGGATATTCCAGAGATGTATCAAGAGAATGGCTGTTAGGTTTTAAAGTCACATTTATTTTACTTGTCTATCCCTTTTACCATACAATGAATGTCATGTGCTCTCTGTAAAATTACAACTACTTACATGTTCCGTCAGTCTCAATTAACCCACATTGCAACCTTTTCAGAGATAAAGATGAGTAATGTATTGAATGGTTTATGTAAAATGGCAACCAAAGTTAGATACTATATACTTCCCTGTTAGAAAACCATCCAAAGGAAAGTGAGACTTGTAATATACACATGACATTCTGGTTTAAGAATTTGCATAGAACCTTTTGTTTCTATGTCACTACACTTAAAACTGTAATACTGTATCTTCCATTTTGACAGGAGCAACATTTACTGGTAATAAAACTGACACCTGCAAAATTCAGAAAACAGCAGTTATGTAATCTTCTTTGAAGCGTGGTCATCCAACAGATACTATATCATTATGTGTGTTTTGAGTCGAGGCTGAATGAGACAGAGAAAAGGCAATTCCATATGTATGAACATAAAGAGTTGGTGAAACTGGATGCTCCCTGGTATAGTCTCTCTGGTCACTGAAGCAAAATGAAGGGGGCAATACATAGTTCAGATTTTCCAGAATGGCACTGGACAGGATGAGAAGGTACAGCTGCATTTCTGAGGGTTGATAAGGGGAAAGGGCAGAGGTGATCGAGCCAGTGTCACATGAAGTCCTCGTAGTCTTGGGCATAGCCACCATCAAACGTTGCATAGTCGAGGTCATCTCTCATCTGTGCTTTCAAACCGCCTCCAGGTACAACTCCTTTCTTCTTCTTTTTTCCTTTGTTTTGCTGTAAAAGGTGGGGGGTGGGGTGGGGAAGAGTTGCTTTTAGAATATGTATATTCAATCCTGGACTTCAAATTAACTGCTAGCATAGATATTATAAAAAAAAACTCATCAATCTAACAGACTAGGCACATTTCATTTCTACTATGAGCACACATAATGTGGCTAGATGAACAGTGCCCCCCTCTGATTATTCACTTAAGATCTGAATTTATCTGTGGGAAAATACAAGCATGCAGTTACTTACTTTTTCTTGTTTCTGTTTTTCACTAAGTAGGGCTGACAAGGAATTACTTATTTTCTTCAAGTCCTCTACTTCCACTGTAAGGGGGAGAGGGGGAAATGTTATTGTTCAAGCCTTTCCTTTGAATTGAAACACTGATAAAGTGAATATATACAACAGATGCTGATCTTACATGAAATACAGAGTTCCCGAAACAATGAATCCAAGAAACTTGAAAAATGCACAGATTTTTCAAACTGGGATATCTTTTCTTTCAGCAACTTTTCAAACTCCGTGAAATCTTCTTTGGAAGAGGGACAGATGGCGTCAATCCCACTGACAGTGTTTGAAGTGCTGCTAACACCTGAAAATAATAAATGACAGGCAACGTTATGTCTGTGAAAACAAACTTAAAAGAATCAAAAGACAAAGATAGGCCTCCAGTGCTCTGCTTGTGTTTATACAAAATATCTAGCAGAAGGGTGTACAGATTGGTTACATCTTGAGAATGTTGAGATGACAGCAGTAACAAAAAATGTACATCAGTAAAGGCAAACAAGACTTATGATCACTTAGTGTCACCAATATATTGTTTGCCCACAAAACACGTAAACATCATTTTTCAACTGCCAACTATCCTGCACACTAATATAGTGGTGAAAGGTTAAACCCGAGATGCAGCGATTGCTAGATCTTTGGCCAATTCCAATTTATTTCCTTGTCTGGCCTGCTGAAACCGGTTTTGTCCTATACCTGTTTCTCACCATGCTGGCAGCACCAACATCTTTCCTCTCTGATAAGGTCATAATCATGCATTTAAATAAAATAGTGGTACTGTTCAGTAAATCAACCATGTGGAGAACTGGACCGATTGACAAGCTCCTCAATTAAAGTCTATGGGTCCGTACTTCACATCTTTCACCACAGGCTGACCACAAAGTTAGAATTATTTCATAAGTTTTTATTTTTATTTCATTTTGACTTTTTGTTTTAAATTTCAGTTGAATTGGTTTTTAATGCTGGTTTGTTAGTTTTTTTTATTCACTTTGTAACATGGGATACTTGTCATGAGGGCCAGAAAGTAAAAAAAGCAAAAACTATCTTAAAAAATAAATATTAAAATACTCTGTTATATTTGAATACAATAGTTGACATTATGTGAAGTCATGACTGATAAAAGCAGTGTGGGTGGCCAGGGATGGAGATATGTGTCTTAACAGCTCAAGGCTAGAGGTTAAAGTAGAAATGATTATTGGACATATCTTATAGAAAGGGTAAATGCATGCTTTCACTCATGTGCACACAATCTTCATGCCACCTCTTCCTAAGTCAGTTGTCTTCACTATCCATTGCAATAAATAAACAGGATATTATTTTGGTATTATACGAGCAGCATGTGGAACTCGTGTCAATTAAAATACTTGGTATAGTGTGACTGTACGGGTTAATAAAAAACTGTTTTGGTATGCAGGTTTCAGAGACAGAGATCAAGTTATTCAAAGGAACTCTCAAGGATTTATGGGCTAGTACAGCCTTAGGAAGAAAACACTTCTGCAGTAAACGAGCTCATCCAAAATTTAAATCGCTTTGCCGGATAAAGGACGTGTCACTCAGAATGTACGCGTCAAAGACAAAAACTAAGACATTTTGTCTATAATTTTATAGTAGTTAATTTTGTAAACACAATACAGATTCAGTTACCGGTAGTTGTCGATTTTATTTTATTTTTTATAAAGACTCATTTTCATTTGTTTTAGGAAAATTATTTTTAAATTTCAGTGTGATGTAAGTTTTAACGATAATAGCATTGAGGCTGAGAGCTCAACTACTGTACTGTAGCTAGGAGTGCTAACTCCACAAAGCAAAAACCGATGGTACTTAAAAAGCTACAGAGCTGCACAGAATCTGCACTTTGTTGACTTTGCTGAATGCAGAGGAAATCATCCACTAGGACAACCTCCAAAAACAGACTGCTTTCTATACACCGGTGCGACCTTATGTTCCGGATTTTACTGTAGGCTTAAAAAATTAAAAATATATTTAAAAAGACGGTTATATAGCCTGACAAATGTTTATTATATTTTGGAGGTTTTAAGAAACCCTGAACATACAACCCAAGTCTACGTACATAACAAAACTGCACACCAGCATTTAGGATATCATGTGCTGCAGTACAGTGCTTTTTACAGTAGACCAGGACATCAGTCTCTGAAGAGAAAATGCCTTCATGCAAAGACTTCAGCTATTCAGACTATAACTAACCAAGTATTACAAATACATTAACTGCATACTATTATAAAGCTATACAGCAGCTATACAATGTCATTTTTACAATGAGAAGTAATGTGTATTGTGTGAACATTAAGACCTTTGATGTAAAAAAAAATTTGAACATATGATTTACTACATCATAAACTGATGCTTACCAAAAGCTTCTTTTGCTAGCTCCAAGTCAGCATCTTCCTGTAATTTCTTCACTCTTAACTTCTCTGCGAGTTGGTCTTCAGGTGTTAGATCTGCTTGCTGTAGGAAAGATTTGATAAGGTCAAAACTTAACATATTCAGAGATGACAGTGAGAAGACTAGTAATGTTTGTTAAATACAAAACGTCCAAATCTAAGGGGTTTGAAAACACACTCACGTTTTCTAGCAGCTCTTTCTCCTTGAGCTCCTGCTGCTTTTTCTTTAGCCGGTTTTCCTTTTCTTTGATCTTCTCACTCAACTTTTTCTTTTCTGAAACCTTTGTCTCTAAAAAATGTAAATAATTGAATAATAAACCATGAAAAAGCAAATAAGGCTATGCAATGCATTGTGGTCTTGTGAAGCAATACATTAAATACATACCAGCTTTTGTCACCTCCGCTTTTTTTGCTGCATCTTCATCCTCATCATCCCAGTTGTCCTGTGGTTTATATAACAAGACAATTTTTGGACCAATGTAACAGTAATTGGTAAAGTCTATAAAATGCATTTGAATAAATAGTTTGAACATATTTCAGAGTTTTGCAACAGTCATACAGGCACACATACACAGTGACTAATGCAAACCACAAACATCTGAAGACAGAAAAATCTAAAATATGTGGTGTTTCTCACACATAGATGATACTCAGACAGATCACCCAGGTATATTTACAGCCGCCCAAGTATATTTGCTGACCATTTTTCTTTTTGTATCCGTATATAATCACCATCAGAGAGGGAGAGAGGTGACATCCCTCCCATTACTACAATTGAGGTGCAACGTCTTGTGTTAAAACTGAAGCTTCTTATGTCTTCAAGGCTTTCTGCAGCTGCCCATGTTGTCCTGTACGCTTAGTTTAGGATGATCAAACTCTTCGTCCTCAATAATATAACTCCACACTTGGGAATCACCTGTTGTCATGACGGAATATCAAGAGAAACATTTTCTAAACTGGAATAATGATATTTGAGGTTATAAAACGTACTGTTGATGAATATCATCAAAAGAGCAGAAACACACTAAAAGATTAACCAACGGAATGAGGCAGCAGGGTAAGCAGATGTGTGTTTGTAGATAAAAGAATGGGAGGGAAGAAGATGAGCAGATTTAAGTATTTTTGTGTTACACACCAAAATACGTTGGAGAAAAATATATAACATTAGGTTTGTGTACATTTATAGTATCAACTTTCCTAATAAAAATAGAAAATTTGCCCATTGCTAACCACCTCCCCCGCCCAGGTATAGCGTTACTCTGTGGAAAACATGGAAATGTAAAAGGCAAAAAGCACTATGTTTAATTAAATGTAGCACTTGAAATACCAGTATTTTTTATTGATTTACAGCTCAAATCAATTAAGCTACATTAAAACTAGCTTCTATGCCACACAAGTTTGCAAGACTTGGCGGGTCTGAGTTCATCACTAACTTTAAGACCTTGATACCCTAGGTGTGGGTAGCAATGCAAAAATCATCATTTATCTAGTTAAGGTAAGATAATCCTTTATTTATCCCACAATGGGGGAATTTACATTGTTACAGCAGCAAAGAGCAAAGATTGCAAACAAAAAGTCAACACAGTACAATTTAAATTTAAAAAAAAGTTGTGGTGAGAGCTGGTACTTATGTAAGTTTATTCTTGTTATCAAATAGTCAGGGGTGAAATATGACTGGACTTTAATAATATCCATATTATCATTCTTAAATCCACAATTTTTGTCATTTAAAAGACATTACACTTCCTACAACCTGTTTTAAAGTATAGGTCCACACAAGATAAGAAAAAAGTAGAGAACATCACAGTGATGAGTTATTACCAAACGTGAATTCATTACTGTATATGAAAAACTAACTTCAATATTGCAAAAAACAACATTGTATTGCATAAAGAGAAAACATTTTGAAAAATTGAATAAAAGCTCTATATTTATATTAAACATTGAAACAAATGAGAATATTGACTTATTTAGGTAGCCTACTGTATCATTGTTTTATCATCAACACAGGCTATTATTTTGTTCATTGCGCTTTAATTTAATTTGTTTGATTGGGGCTACTTACAGCTGCTCAGTGACTGTTATTTGCTTGATGATCTGTTTTAACCATTGTATTTCATTCATTCTTTAACTATTATTACTACTAACAATACTTTCACATTAAACCTAAATGACAAATTACTCCCCCTTACCATGATTCAATAACTAAATATTATATAATATATATAAATATAACAACTAGTATTCCCAAATACTTGCATGCATTTCATGCTGACTGTCATTTCAGCTGTCTGTCAAATCAATGATTCATCATTTAACGTTTTGGGGATAAGAATTTATATAAATGTTGTTTTTACCAAGACATTTTACTATGCTTGTTAATTAACCACACATGACGCGACATGAAATCACCAGGTCCTGTGCGACATGAAATCACCAGGTCCTGTGACATAAAATCACCAGGTCCTTGCGACATGAAATCACCAGGTCCTGTGACATGAAATCACCAGGTCCTGCGACATGAAATCACCAGGTCCTTTGCGACATGAAATCACCAGGTCCTGCGACATGAAATCACCAGGTCCTGTGACATGAAATCACCAGGTCCTGCGACATGAAATCACCAGGTCCTGCGACATGAAATCACCAGGTCCTGCGACATGAAATCACCAGGTCCTGTGACATAAAATCACCAGGTCCTGCGCGACATGAAATCACCAGGTCCTGTGACATAAAATCACCAGGTCCTGTGACATAAAATCACCAGGTCCTGTGCGACATGAAATCACCAGGTCCTGTGACATGAAATCACCAGGTCCTGTGCGACATGAAATCACCAGGTCCTGTGACATAAAATCACCAGATCCTGCGACATAAAATCACCAGGTCCTGCGCGACATGAAATCACCAGGTCCTGTGACATGAAATCACCAGGTCCTGTGCGACATGAAATCACCAGGTCCTGTGACATGAAATCACCAGGTCCTGTGACATGAAATCACCAGGTCCTGTGCGACATGAAATCACCAGGTCCTGTGACATAAAATCACCAGGTCCTGTGACATAAAATCACCAGGTCCTGTGACATGAATCACCAGGTCCTGTGACATAAAATCACCAGGTCCTGTGACATGAAATCACCAGGTTCCTGTGACATAAAATCACCAGGTTCCTGTGGCTGGGCTCCATATGCGACACAACACGGAACAATTGGAAGAGGCCTCTACCAGCACTTTCCCCGGTTCAACTATTGGGAGGTTTCTGGCCAGCGACTGTGCGAACATTCAGGCCAATAAACCACCTGTACTGAAGCGTGAACCGAGCAGAAGTTTCCTTACACACTGCTTGTTGTTCCGTCGAAAGTTCTCGGCCTCCTTCTTGTCTGAGTTGAGTCATCAAACCCCAGATGACGATTTCATCTGACTGTAGCTAAAGTTAAAGCTAACGCCGCCTCATGTAAAATAAAAACAAAAACCCGCACAGGACACAAATACTAATCTCTTACAATCATGTCATGCAACCAGCTTTTAGCAATGCTGGGATAACAGTCTACATTAACCACACTTTGACCCGATTAAGTTAAAGACGCCATCGCAATCGCTACAATTTCAGACACACGCTGATTACGGGAAGGTAGCCGAGTTTGCTAGCCGAGTGGCCCGGTTAGCTTCCAGCTACATTATCCCGTTATCCAACTTTAGCCCTGCCAACCTAAAATCTACGTCACCAATAGTCAGCTAAATGTTACGAAATTAACAACACACGCCTTTTGGAAATGTATTTCTCGACAAATATGAGCTGTCATGTTTATATTTTGGGCGTTTATGTCGGGTTAGAACCGTCTTGGGTAGCTGAAGGTTGGAGCCACATGAGTTAGCATTCAGCTAGCTTTGTAGTTCACTCGGGTTCAGAGGCTTGACAGGCTGCCAGAGACCGCGGTGAAGCATGGCACCAAAGCAGGGGAGGGGGGGGGCGACAGTGCCTAAACCCGACGTTATCTTTAACAAGCTTGGTGTAACGATGACCTGACACCAGCTGCTCATTCTTGTTTCTTTACCTTAACCTCGTCCTCCTCGTCTTCTCCTTCCCATTTGTCGACCACTGCCGCCTTTTTAATCGGCTCCTCCACCTCGAAGTTCTCAGCGTCTGGAAGAAGCACAACATGAATTTCGTTAGGCCAATCCACATTTTTTTTACGACCCCCGAGTTTGACAATAATGTAGTAGTCAGGCTCGTGTAAAAAAAAACAACGATTGTGGGGAACCGGATGGCGAACAGAGAGCTATCCTTTTCCCCCCTGACTTAGTTTTCTCACCCCAGTCCGCCATGTTGGCTGTGTTGGTTGTGTTTGACAGACAAGTGGAGTCAGTGCTGCTGCAGCTCGTTGGCTGCGTACGCACGCACGCACAAACACGCACACGCACGCACGCACGCACGCACACACACACAGCTCCCACCTTCTGGACGTCAGTCTGTAGGCTCAACTCATGACTTCAACTTTACTTATGTGATGGATAATAATAATAATAATAACCCATGGTATTTTATTAATTAAATACAATAAATCAAGATTATTTACTGTTAAATTGATTGGGTGGCATGTCAACTCACAGATTTGACACTGTAACTTTGCTAAAAGTTGCTTTGTATTAAAGATTCAAGATTTGTATTTCTCACATGCTCATACAGATGTGCAGTGAAATGTAAAGACTGTTCCGCAAGGCCATACAATAAACACTCAAATTACTAATACACATATATACAGTAAAAATAGAATATAATGTAACATTTTAAAGAAGAAATATTTGAATATACAAACTATAGAATATGGAATAATGTAAACAGTGTAAAGTGTCAGTGTGTAAAGTGTCCAGGGTGTGCAGAGTGGAATGTGTGGTGTGTGTGCATCATGTAATCACAGTTCTGTTTTGTTTTTAACTGAGGAGAGTGGAGTAAATGTTGGTTCTTTGTAGATAATATAACAATGGGTAACGTCTTTACCTGTAAAAAAGAGTAAGGTATTTTACCTACTGTTGTGCAAATTAGTTATAAATTGGTGCTGCAAATAAAATTTATACTGAAAAGGATATAGATCAGGGGTGGGCAACTGGCGGCCCGCATGTGGCCCCCACCAACCCTCAACGTGGCCCTCAGGTTAATTTTTTATGCATCAATTAATTGGAAACATGAAGAAAACATGATGAAATCTGGCATGAAATTATGAAACTCAGAAATATGTCCATAATAATATTTGATCACTGGTATATGTTGAGTTAATCTGAGACATAATTGACTCTAATCGTTTGTCTTTGGCCCTCTGGCAGTGAGAATTAAATGAATGTGGCCCTTGCTGTCACCAATGTTGCCCATCCCTGATATAGATCATGATAGATCGCAACACCACATTCAATGAACATTTTCACAGCCTGCGTAGATTTCAACAAATTTGAAACATGTTTTTTTTAATCATCGGTCCCATTTTGAGATTATGTATAAATTATTAGATAGGGCTTTTGGAATTAAAGGCTACTATAGGCTATAGCACATGTCAAACATATGATCCAGATTGCTTTAATAGTGGAAGTATCATTAGTAGTAATAATAGTTAAAGAATGAATGAAATACAATGGTTAAAACAACAGATCATCAAGCAAATAACAGTCACTGAGCAGCTGTAAGTAGCCCCAATCAAACAAATTAAATTAAAGCGCAATGAACAAAATAATAGCCTGTGTTGATGATAAAACAATGATACAGTAGGCTACCTAAATAAGTCAATATTCTCATTTGTTTCAATGTTTAATATAAATATAAAGCTTTTATTCAATTTTTCAAAATGTTTTCTCTTTATGCGATACATGTTGTTTTTTGCAATATTGAAGTTAGTTTTTCATATACAGTAATGAATTCACGTTTGGTAATAATTCATCACTGTGATGTTCTCTACTTTTTTCTTACCTTGTGTGGACCTGTACTTTAAAACAGGTTGTAGGAAGTGTAATGTCTTTTAAATGACAAACCTTTACCCTTGTGAAAAAAAACAAAAACAATTCCTCTTTGCTAAACAAAATAAATGATCCATAAATAAACAGAGTCAACAGATGGTAGTTGGTTTAATTTGATAATATAGGACTTCATTCATCACACCAGAAAGTGTGCACAACAATACAAAACTCACAGCAAAAATAGACTGCACATGATCAATACTAATACAATGTGATCTTACTATTATTACTCACAACAAAAATATAAATGTAGCAAACATTTCTGCTCTTACTCTGACAAAAATATTGTATCATTTCACAAAAATATATAACTTTAAATAAATTAATATATATATATGTATGTGTTACTTTTTAGATTTGCAACACAACAGATTTCTAGTAACTGTTTTTAAATCTTGCAAGTCTTAGGACTGTTTTTGTGGGTTTGGTTTTACTCCCTGAGAAGGTTAGGGATGGGTTGAAGGACAGGATGGGTTTATGCAAGTTTATTAAAATAAATAGTAAAAAATAATACATAAAAATATAAATAAATAAACAGGTAAATAAATAAACCAATGTGGGCTCACTTTTTAGTCTATAGTGTAGAAATGTATGGTTGTAATACAAAGTAAATTAAAAATCTCATTCAATTCAGTATAAAGACATGTTGAAGTGCTGCTTGATATTGCACAGATAAATGTGATCCTTGTTATGAGGATGAGGATGTGTCTCCTGATCCAGCAGGGGTGAGTGGGGTCATATTGCAGGGCAGATCAGGTCAGGGCAGGATGATCAGCAGCATCAGCAGTCCCAGTGTGAGACACAGGCGGCTGTGGCTCAGTGCCAACCCCAGTGACTTCCCTACAGGGAAACCAACAATTGTAGAGCCATGAAAAAATATAATCCCCTTGAATTATCGGTCTTTGTACATCATAACACAAAACACAGTGGAACTCATTTTTGAGAATTTCACTACACTTCCTAGACTTGTTCTGATATGATTATATTGAGCTGTATAGTCATTGTGTAAACATAGGATATTGTCAGTATTCAATCTTTGTTGAAATCATTTTTCAAATTGACCTTCATAAAGTTTATATTGGCTCTAGCTTTCTAAAGTCATTGTTGTCTGTCAGTGCTCTAATAGTTTGAAGTGCAAACATGCCATTTTACTATAGGTATTAATATATACCAGACTTTAGTTATACAGTATTTTCAAACATTTCAATAATAGCTTGAAGAGATGTTAGCTAATTTTAACAACCTCCCTAAAGGACCTTTTTATCTAACTACCATTGTTCAACAAGAGTTTCAAAGATTTCAGTGGCTCACCTCTGAAGTCTACAGGCCTTGCCTCCCAGGGTGTCAGCACCAGAGATAGAGCTGTCTTCTGAACATCTGACATCTTAGAGAGCTGCTCTTCGGTCACAGCAGCAGCCTGCTCATAAAAGAACATGCTGATGTGTTTCTGGTTAAACACCACCTGGACGAAATAAAACAAGCAGGGACATAGAGGAACAGAGAGATGGGTAGTGACACAGAGATGCGATTATTGCACCAATATCAGCAAAGCTTGACAGATATTTAAAACACCTGTTATGGACTGTAACAATTGCCTCTAAAAATGTGAATTATTTGTGCTTTTGGAAAATGTGAAGAGATAATGTTGTTTAAATTACTTACAGCAAACTTGTCAGCTGGTATCATGGAGATAGCCACAGGTATGATTCCTTCAATTTGCATTTTCACCAACGCTGACATAGCCATGTCAGGGATACCAGCTGTAAAAAGTGAAACATGTTGATAAATGAGAGTAAAGAAGCACAACTGCCTGAGTCAATGCTTTAATCCAGCAACAAGAGTTATTTAGAGGGTTTCATTAGAACAATAAATAATACTAAGAGGGGTTAAAGTTGTGAGCACACATGGGATTTAACTGATCCATACAAATAAGATATTTGTGCAAGATTGACACCAAGAATTGACATCTTATATTTTCTACCACTTCTGTCAACAGTGCAATACGCTCCAAAATGAAAACATTTTGATTGCTATGTGTGAAACTTCAGGACCTTATGAAATCTCTAAGGTGATTTAAGTTAATGTAAAATACCTGCCAGAACTCCGATCTCAATGAAAACGTCAGTTCCCCATGAACTTGTGGGTCCAAAAGCGAAGCTGTGAGTTAGCAGCTCGATGAAAGCCAGTAGCTGCTCCTCAGAGCAGGATAACTTTAGCTGACCCAGCTGGAGCACCGCCTTACTACAGCCAGCAGGGAGAGACACAGCACAGGAAGAGCAGGGGGGAAGGGGAAATTGTTATCACATTACAGTGTTCAAACATCAGCTCCCAAAAATGAAGAAATGAACACGAGCATGTGAAAGTATTTTATCTGCTCACCTGAACTCTACAGCATTGAACACATTTATGTCAGTGGTTTTAGCTCCGCACACAATGTATCCCATGGCCCCTAGTGTGCTATAGTCCAGCTGGCTTGGACTTTGCTTGGTGGAGTTTAAAATGGCGCTAAACAGTGCAGCAAGCTGGGATGGAAACAAGAGTTATGATCCAGACAAGCTCTTTCATCATACACCCATGACACATGACTGTAAGTGTGCCTAACTCGTTGCAGTTTAATACAGAATCTTTGCATTGGTGCGTGTTTCATTAAGTTGTTTTTTATTTAGTGGGGAGTTCAAACAACTTTATGGTCATTTTAAAGCTTGGGTTTGTTATAATGTTGAATCATATTGCGTTATACTAAGAGGTGATTGGAATATTCAGTCTCATTGACCTCTGCAGGATGGACAAAAAGGAGGTTTGCTTCCAGATCTTTGCCTCTACATTATCCATACAGAATGGGAAATATCAATAAATGGACATAAATGGAAAGCTCAAAACACCAATGCCACTTGCAAAAAACAGATGTGAAATGTAACTTTGTGGGGGTCTCAATGAGCAGCCATAAGCATGGTGTTTCAAACTAACATTTTTATTTAAATTAGCAAACAAACCACAGCATCAGAAGTGTTTAGAAATGCTGTCTGACTTTAAGACACTAATTTACAAATGAATCAGATCTTAAATAATCAGTTTTCACTTTTTAATATGGCAGATACAAAACGTTTTAAAAAGTTATATTCCATCTTAAATCTGTGTGATATGTTAACAGCTGTAAACAAAGCATGTACTGTACCTGTCTGTTGGTCCATACACTGATAGCACCCATAGCAGCGATACTCCTACGCTCAGTCAGTCTGAGGCTGCTCAGCTCCTCCACGGAGAGCTCTGTCGCTATCCAGCCCAGCTGGGTGATCAGAGACTGAGAGAAGGACGAGACAGGGCCGTATATCTGCACACACACACACACACACACACACACACACACACAGGAACACACGCACAGGAACACTTAACACCATATGAAGCATGTAAAGACATAACAGAACCACAGGATGAAACCAGGACTAAGGAGGGGAAGCTTCCCTTTAAGGCCTTGAATAACACACCACTTCTTTGTGGTTAAATGGACTGAATTTCACCTGTTTGACTTTCCTCAGCACCTGGCTGCGCTGGTAGGATGCAAGGAATGGGTCCTGACCCATAAGCTCCAGACAGTTGGAGAAGGCTGATGTAGTCATGCTGATCAGACTGCTGGAGGTCCAGGCAGAGGGAGCTGTAGTGTGCAGGATTTCACAGGTAGGAACCATGGGAGCCGCTGGAAAAGGACACAGACACAAAAGTCAGATCAAGAAATGTTGTAAAATACGTATGACTTTATGTAAAACATATTAGATCACCAGCATTAAATAGAAAATATTTTTGTTTTACTATTTTCTGTTTCATATACTGCACTATATTCAAACAAACATCAATACACAGCTGAAATAATGACTTGGACCTATTGAAGTAATCATGTGATGTTCGACATGGAGAACCCAGGATGTAACTGGAGTAACAGTTCCTATACAAAACATATTGTGGTCTTTTGGCACTTCATATTTACACTATAGTCCTTTTAAAATCCCCTAAAGGATTTGATTCCAGAAACAGAAGTGATGCTCACGTGACAAAGGATTTATTTTGAGGAAGCCGAGGAAAAACTGGAGGACAAACTGCTGCTTCTCAAAAACTCTCCTCTTATCGTTCTCGTTTAAACAGTGGCTCCCAACATCCCCGCGTTCCCACTGCCGCTGGCTCATGAACAGCTTCTCTATACAGCCCACTGTCATCAGATCCTGAAGGAAAACAAACAACACAAACACATGTGCGCGCGCGCGCGCACACACACACACACACACACACACACACACACACACACACACACACACACACACACACACACACACACACACACACACACACACACACACACACACAAAAACGGTTTGCAAGAGAACAGGAACTTCACCACCTGATCCTGACACCTGCTGGAGATGTGACACCTGCGGGTTTATTTACAGCCTTTGTTGGCCTAACCTGCCGTGAGATCAGATAACAATCCCAACACCTCACTGCTGATTTCTGGACATCAAATGAATCTGTAAAGCGACTGAAGTGGACTCACAAGAGGAATCTCCTGCAGTTTGTCCTCAGGCAGGAAGAAGAGGAAGCGATCCACCTGACTCACTGTGGTCTTGTTCCAGTGTTTGGCTGGACTGTGAGAAAACAAAAGAAGGATTGTTATGATTTTTCCACGGTTCCCCGAAAATTGAAACCTGTTCTCTATAGTCATGATCATTTTCAAGTTTACCCTCTGAACTGTAAACATAAGTCTTACTGCGAAGTAATGCCACCATACAGGACTAACCTTCAATTGAAAATCATTAAACAGATGATTTCTGTAATTTCTTCAAGGAAAATCTGACAATGTGATTATCACATCACACCATGGCAAAATAGTGTCATATACAAAAAGCCTGCCCCAAAAAAAAATACAGGGGCGCTGGTGGCGCAGTGGTTAGCCCGCACGCCTGTGGTTCCTTTCCCACATGTCATTCCCTAATCTCTCTCCCTGATTTCCGGCTCTATCCATTGTCCTATCTCTCCATTAAAGGCCCAAAAAGCCCTTAGAAAAGCTTAGAAAAAAAAATACAATAAAAGACACTCTAAAAGCTTGTGCTGGGTAAACCTTAAATTTTACAGCTGATTTTTTTTTACAGCTGTTAGTTTAATGACAAACTGTGATAAAATCACTTCAATTAATGGCACATTATCACACAGTATCATGAAAAGCCAGATTAACAAAGTAAACACAGACCATTAATGCTTTTTAAAAACAAATTGTGGTTACAGCTGCAAAATCATTTTATAATAATATTAGTAGTATTAGTATTATTATGTCCATGTTTCGAAACTTGTACTTTTCAAATGAATGTTTATGTTATTTTTATGATGTCACAGTAGGTTGTAGTACCTTACTATTATTTAAATCACTTTATTAGAAAGCATTCAATTTATTTGGATTTTCTTGCCTCCAACAATTACATTTTTAAATTAAGATCTTGAATTACCCAAAGGCGGCAGGATCTTGCAGGATACGAGCCACAATGTTCATCTTGCCGCTGCTGTAGCAGAGCCCCTGGAGATAATCCAGATTTTCAGTGAAGAAGCTGCGGTCGAGCTGAATGAGAACTTCATCCACCACAAATGGTGCCATGATGCCCAGTGAAATAAACTCCTCCTCAGTGAACACACCTGTGTACATGCCCTGCAGAGAAAGAGTCCAAAATAAAGGGAATTACAAACCATTCAGTTATTCACTCATAACTTTCTAAAACAGAAGAGGGGCATCACAGTGTAGCTCTACTGACCATCCTCTGAACCACTTTGTCCACCAGCAGCTCCTGTTTGGTTCTAGCTAGCATGAGGAAGTGCTGAGGCTCCTGAATGATCATCCTCCTGAGAGTGTCCATCATATCTTTGGGGAACTTCTTAATGGTGCTCACACTGCAAACATCACACAAAAAAGCATAAAGAATATTTTACCCTTATAATCAACGACTCAATGTCAATCCACAGCTTTTAAAACCTCTCGTCAAAATGTTAGGTCATGTGCTGGATGATGAGTTTACAAAAATAGAGTTAATTTTGACCTGAATTGCCTGCAAGTCTAGATGGACTTAAGGAATGTTCTCGCTGGATGTTTTTTTCTGGGCCAATATATGGTTGGTTAAGTTTCTTTTAATATTGAGTAAAACATGTTAAATACACAAGTAACTCTGATGTCTAACAAGAAATGACATGTATCGATATTACAGTGAAGGTTTTTTGAAATATATTGCTTATATTCACAAAATGAAATAACCCCTGATATAATTTTGATTGGATTGATTAATGGTCATTTGACTCTAATCACTCCACTTTTAAAGTGTTTAAATCATTTTCATCAGAGGGAAATGAGTACTTACGGCATGGACAGGGCAATCTCAGCTCCCAGATCTTTCAACAGTTCAGAGAAGAACTCAAACTGATACAGCACCTCGATCACACACCTTTTCTGTCCAGAAGAATGAAGACAAAAGATGTATAGATCACAGTATTTATTTAACAAGCATACAGGCAGTAGATGGCACCATTCAAAATAGGTAACTGTACCACTGAGGTGTGAAGAGGACCGGGCTGCTGTTTGAGAAGGAGTAGAATTCTTCTCACTGCAGGAGACGAGGAATCAGCTCGAAAAAACTCCTGTAAGACCGTACAGCTCACACCTTGACCCACTGTGCCCAAACTCCTGGTTACATAAAGAGATGAGGGTCAATACATCTATATAAAAGTATAAAGCTGCAAAATACTTAAAGCCTTAATAAAGCATTTGTAAAAGAGCACAGAGAAGTTGTACTTACAGAAAATCTTGGCTGATTAGATTTGGTTTAGTCTCATGCACCTTTTTGAAAATTGCAATCGCCTGGTGACAATATGAAAAAAAAAGTGTTTGTTTTTGTTGTTAAATGGTTTATGCATGTTCTGTGCTGCTACCTTCCACAGCTGTAACAAGAAGAGCAAATGGCAAACTGATATAAAGAGGGTGTTTGTCAGTATTGTATGCAACAAGCCCATTCATGGTATCAGTGATGACATGTTTGCTTTTGCTACTTCACTTCATAATTTAGCAGCTTATCAAGATACCGTCATTCACACAGCCAACACTGAACATTCAGCAGCTGAAAACCTCCAGCAAGCTGTTGATCATCTACAGCATGCACTGTTCAATCTGAAATTGGATCTCAACCCAATCAAAACCAAATATTTGTCTCTAGAGAAAGAGACATTGCAGATGATGGTTTACATATCACCAATATGACAGGGCACAACACTGAAAGAGTCTCGGAATGCAAATATCTTGGTGGCTGGTTAGATCACTCACTTTCATTTCCACGTTTGCCCCGCCAAAACATCTATATCACTCTGCCCTCAGGTCCATTACAGGCAACAGTTACTTTATTTACTTTATACAATATGTCAGACCAATAGGTCAATATCAACATAAAAAAGCACATTTTATATGAAAATGTAGGCTGGGTGCCTCTAACTGCAAGATGTGACAGGCATTGGTTTTTATTTATTTATAAGTCCATAACTGGTAAAATGCCACCATATATTACTTCCTAGTTAAACCAGCCTCACAGTCAACACTCAACATGTTCCAGTATTTGAAGCTCAAAGTTGCACGGGCAAACACTTCATTTGGTAAAACTGCTTTGAACTTCTCCGCTGCATTCACATGGATCACTTTGCAACAGACGTTCAAACTTCACACACTTGTTCCTATGGGTCAGTTTATTAATTTAAACGACCCTGCCTTTGGATGTAACTGTTTTTAATTGTCTTGTTGACATTATTTGTTTTTTGTGCACATGTATTCTTTATTGTTGTGCTCTCTACGTCATAGAAAATGTAGATTTGCCCTTCATTATTTTCAAGATTTATATAAAGGTGGAATGCATGAATGTTATTTGACTGCCAAACACTGTTTAACATGCCATATGTGAAAGGTAGGTTGTTGTTACTGGGGTTCCAAATAGTGAGAGGAAAGTTTACACACAAGCATGTTTAGAGTGTGAAATATATTTCTGCTATAGATCCCTGATCATTTATCTCAAACTTCAAAACTTTAAAAGTAGAGTCAACAACTTTTTCCTGAAAAAAAAAAAAGAAGACTGCTCAATCATCACTTATGGGCCTCCATACCTGTGTAGTGGTGACAGTTTCTGTATACACACTGCCCTCTGTCTGTATTTGGGCGTTCTTTTCTTTTTTTTCTTGGGTTTAGTCGGAATATTTCAGGGCAAGGAGTCAGCCTGATACTGCACAGCTGAGTTAGGGAGTTGATACATGTCAGCGATTGGAGCCCATTCAAACTGAATATAATGGACTTGGACGTAGCGACAAAGAAGAGAAAATATAATCTAACTGAAGCTTGAGAACCTTGTTTTGTCTTCAACCCGCGGACATGGAGTTGACCTGTTTTATGTTAGACAGGCAGGTCGCAAACACCGTCAGTTAGCTTGTGCTAGCATGTGATAGCTTGCAGTGTCGGTACAAGTAGTGGCTTACACACTAACCCTATAGTGAGTGTATGCTTCTGGTAGCCATGAGTCCAGGAGGAGGGGCCCAGTTTAAATGTTGTGTTAAGAAGCTGCAACGAACAATACTGCAGACTTACCGTTAAATAAAATGTCTCCTTCAGTGTATTCTGGTGTAAGATGGGCTGTGTGATACCTGCTGTGTGTTCCAGGATGTTGTGGTAGCAGTGGTGATATTGTTCACAATAAAACGGGTTCTTGGCATGACGCTTAGCAGAGGAGTGCAATAGAGAAAAGGCTCCACATCATCCAACCAACCGACAACCTCTGGGAAGCCCTGGTCAGAGAAGAAGCAAGAAAACATCAATGTAAGCTTAACGATCAAATTACATCGATGAATTATATTTATTATTTATTTGTTACTATTTTCTTTCCATGTTGTCTCAACACAAGTCAAACTCAACACTTTTCGATTGAAAAAGCTTAAAATTGTAAAATCTTCAAGTAAATGTCAATGTGCTTGTGTTTTACCCAGAGCTTGGTGGCAATAGCATGAGCTTGCAGAGGGCTGAGGCCTGGAGTGTATTGGGCCATTGCAGGCAGGGATGACAGCAGCCTGTCAGAGGTGACGCTCAACAAGGCCTCTGTCTTCAGTCCCACAATGAGGGAGCCAAGATGCTGCAGCTGATCCGTGGTGGTCAGCTGGGCAGAGGGGAGGAAGATGTTGGCTTAAAGTTGCAAAAAACGTAAAAACCTAAATTCACATCGTTTTGCATTTTAAGAATAACTCACTGTGTTACTTGTGGACATCTTGTCTATAATAATGGAACCCTGAAATACATAAAGAAAATCAACAATGGAATTAAATGACATTACCTTTCAAATGGAACTTTTAAAATACAAAACGCTGAATTGCCCATTTGAACTAACAACATTAATTCAAAATAAAGTTCTGATGATTTATGGTGGACCTGTCAAAAGATAACTATGGTTGAAAAGATGTATCCTCTCAAGCGCACAGTGATGTATAAAAGCAAGACAACAGCTGTGGGGCTGAGGTGAAAGTAAACAGCTCCAGTTCAGACGATAGCTGAGCGTAGCGTAAAGCTCCGGTCTTTACCTCATAAGCTAACTCACCTCAGGGATCAGTGTGCTTCATGCTGGCTTGCCTGTCAGCTGTTACTTAGGACTACAAGCCCCACCAGCTGCCAGAAAACCATCCATGCACAACAAATAGGGGTTTGTCTAGTGAAAGGGACTGACCCAACCCCCACTATGGACACCTGATGATTAATTTACAGAAGAAGAATCGGCTCATAGTAAAAATAATGTTATAGAGGAAGATTTCGATAACTTCAATGTAGATTATAGGTTGAGTGTGCTCCACTACCTGTGCAGGGCTGAATGAAACGGAGCTAAGGACCGGGAGGATTGGGTGCAGCTGTGACGGTGTGAGACCCTGCAGAAAAGGCACACCCAGCAACGGCAGGAGGGGGGCGATCTCTGCCAGTCGATCAGAACTGAGCGAGGAGGGGACCTTTAACTCTATGCTGTTCAGCAACAAACTGGAAACCTGGACAGAAGGTTCACAAAAAGCACATATCTGAAATATTCTCCTTTAATGGAAACACACGTATGAAAATCATTAAGGACACCAACGTATTCACTTTATGTGCTTACCAAGATGCTGGGCAGACTCAGTCCCTCATGTGTGCAGTTCATAACAATTTCTCTCATGACACTGAAGAGCTCAGTATCTTTGTACACAAGAAGGTCCTCTGGGTCTGCCAGGCAGGAGAGATTACCTAACCTGAAATCGCAAACACTGTTTTAACAACACATTTGGGCACACATTTTGTGAGGTAGAAAAACAATTACTCAGTAAGTAAGTCTCTGTAGGTAAAGTCTTAAGATTCAATAATTGCATTGCCCTACTCACTCATATATTTAACATATTGTGACATGTGTAACTGTGCATGCAAGCAAAAGAAAAAATATTATTAATATGAATTAGTTTACACAGTAATATGTAACATTTCCTTAGTTATTTGACGCTGCCTGTGGATCCACACAAATTGAGAATCTCATAAACTGTTTACATAGACGGAGAGGTCGGACAGTCATTCCCCACCTTGTAAGATCCTGAGCAGTGAGGTTTCTGTAGGTGCTGATGATGCTGTGAGAGATGAATTCCTGCTTTAGAGAAGTGAGGGTGTTTCTTTGCAAAACTCCCAGCCCATCTAACAGCTGCAGGGAACATGACGAAAAAGTTTCAGTGACTTTCAATACTTTTTTTGTATTCATATAATATAGCAATTACAAGGCTATTGATTTTTCAAATGTTTACCAGTGGTCACTAAACACTTATTTTTTCATAACATAGCAATTCTTTTTGGATGTGGGAAGTGTACCTCAAACTACTGAGAGAATCGAGGGTGATTCAATTCTGTTAAGAAAAGTTAGACATCTCAGAAAATGTTCACTGAACTTTCTTGCAGAGTTAAAGTAATATATCAAGTTTAAATCCATAATTATGTCTATGGACCTATCCCTGACAGGTTAGCTTAGTGTAATATCCTTTGCAAAATAACGAGGGAAACGCAAGCCATTATGTGTCCAGAGGTACCAACATCTTTGTAAAAGCACATCTTAACATGCACATTACATTTTGTTAGTCTAATCTATACATAAACCAAACGGTTTGAGAACTAAGCCAAGTTTAGCTAACTGGCTGTGGTAGCTTCATATTTACATGAAAATCGTGATATATTTTTGTAACTATTGTAGAAAGCGGGTAGGCTTGCTTCTCAGCATTTTCTTTTTAAATCCTTGGTTATGAATGTTGGCTTTTATATTAAGATCATTCATTATTCATGAGTTCCTGTCTTTACTTATTGAACATTAGCTACCAGGATGTGACACATGATGGTGGTGACAGGTAAAGAAGAAACTGTCTATTCT